AACCATGATTTATCCACAGGCAACACGACATCTATTAATTAATTGATCGCATTTTCGCTTCACGAGTTCATTAAGCCCTCGGTCCACGCCTCGGGCCAATCTTTCGGGTTATTTTTAAACCGAGAGGTTGTCGATCGACTATCAGGCAGACATTTGAAGAGTACAAATATGGAAAAAGGCAAACACCACTACAACAAGTAAAAGAGATAAACCAATATTGAGAGAGATCTAGTCGCTTGTGAAACCTATCTTTTTAGTTTTATTGCTACGAAAAACAAGATCACTTACACGAAAGTAGGTGGCCGCTTTAACCAGCAGTCAGAACGCATACATCACATAAGGTACCTATTTTCATCGAACGATCGCGAATATCGTTAACACAGATCATTATTTTTTTATGGGCAAAAATACAAGTCCCAGAATGCAGCCTTGCAATACCCCTAGGTCCAAGTAACTCCGTCAGACCATTTGTATTTTTATTAAACTTTGTCGTCGAAGATAATAATTGTCATTAGCGACTGACCTCGTGACGTCTTGTTTATTACTTATTAGAACGTTTGTCATTACAATTCATTTTAAATGAGTCGAGTTTTCATAATGTTTTTTTTTCATTTCGTTTACGCTTAAGGAGTTCCAACTTCCACGATATTTGCATACATAATTAAGCGTTTGAGAAATTCGGCAGTTCGGAAGTTCATTTAAATAAATTCAAAGTTTTAATTTTAATTAGAGTGCAAAGTGGGCGTTGATGTTTGCCGCCTTGTTGAAATAGGTAACGTAATCAAACTATCAAACCGACCGGTCATCAAAAAATTGGTCGAAGTTTATTTCACCCCTGAAGTGCAGTTTCCTCCATTTTTCGATTTAAAATTTCTCGAGTTTTCGATTCTTTAATTTTTCGTTTCTTCTGATTTTATAATTATTCTTTGTTTCAATATGGGATATTTCTACTTTGTTTCAATGTGCAATTTTTTGAGTTTGTAAGCTGAAATTTTTCATTTTCTAATTTTGCAATTTTTCGATTTGAGTTCCTGGAGTTTTCAGTTTTTAGTTTTTTCTATTATTCAATTTTTCAATGTTTCGATTTTATAATTCTTTGTTTTTTAAAATTTAATTTTTTCAGTTTTTCATTTCTTTAATTTTTCATTTGTTTAATTTTTAATTTCTTCAAACTTTCGATTCGCTATTTTCCGGTTTTTATTTCTTCATTTTTACAAATGATCGTTTTTCAGTGTTCCGATTTTATAATTTTTTGTTTTTTCAATTTCACTCTCATTTTTAAAATTTTTCATTTTTTTTTTTTCAATGTTCTGATTTTATAATTTTTCTTTGTTTCAGTGTGGAATTTCCACATTTGGATAATTCAATTTTTCAATTTGCAATTTTTCGAGTTTCTAGTTTAAATTTTTCAGTTTTTCAATGTTTCGATTTTATAAGCCTTTGTTGTTTCAATTTTAATTTTTTCAGTTTTTCGTTTCCTGAATTTTTCTACTTGTGATTTTTCAATTTTTTATTGGTTTGTTCAATTTTTAGATTTCGCAATTTTTGGAATTAAAATTTCTCGAGTATTCGATTTTTCTATTGTTCGATTCTTTAATTTCTCATTTCCTCAAATTTTTTATTTGCAATTGTACGTTTTGGATTTTTATTTTCTTTATTTTTATATTTTTTTTTATTTTTCGAAGTTCTGATTTTATAATTTTTTGTTTTTTCAATTATTTATTTCTCCAATTTTCCATTTTTTTTCTTCCATTTCACTTTGATTTTTAATTTTTCAGTTTTTCATTTTTCCAACTTTTGGATGTTTCACTTTAGATTTTGTAATTGTTTGCTTTTTCAATGTTCTGATTTTGTAATTTTTCTTTGTTTCAGTGTGGGATATTCCCACATTTGGATAATTCAATTTTTCAATTTGTAATTTTTCGTGTTTCGATTTTATAATTCTTTGTATTTTTCAATTTTAATTTTTTCAGTTGTTCGTTTCCTCAATTTTTCGATTTGCAATTTTTCGAATTAAAATATCTCGAGTTTTCAATTTTTAATTTTTCTATTTTTCGATTCTTTAATTTTTCACTTCTTCAAATTTTTTTATTTGCAATTTTCCATATTTTTTTTTTGTTTCTTCAATTTTACGATATGCAATTCTGCGAATTCTCATTTTTAAATTTTCTAGTTTTGGATTTTCCAACTTTCAGATGTTTCAATTTCTTGATTTTGCAATTTTTCGATTTATCAACAATTTCTTTTCTTCCATTTTTCGTTTCGGTTATTTATTTTTTCAATTTTTCCATGTTCTGATTTTATAATTTTTGATTTTTCAATTTACAATTTTTCATTTTTTGAATTTTAGAAATTTCAAATAATTTATACATATATGTATAAATTATACAATTTTAGAATTTTTCCATTTTTCATTTATTCGATTCTTCAATTTTTCGATTTTTCATTTTTTAATTTCTCGATGTTTCATTTTTCAATTTTTCGATCTTGCAATGTTACAGCAACAATTTTAACGATTCTATAATTTTTCGATTTTAGTTTATCGGTTATTCAATTTTTCGATTCGATTCGATTCGTTTTGTTCTTTTCAATTTTTCGTTTTTACTGTTTCGATGCTTCAAGTTTTCGTTTCTTCAGTTCTTTGATTTGAAATTTTTCAATTCTCCGCATTTTCGATTTGTCAATTTTTCTTTTCAGACTTTCGGTTTTTTAATTTTTCGATTTTTCAATTGTTTGAATCAAAAATCAAAAAATTGCAGAATTGCAAAACTGAAAAATCAAAAACTGAAAACTTTGTAAAATCTAAAAATTGGAAATCAAGAACTTGAAAAATTGAAGAAACGGAAAATTCAAAAATTGAAATCGAAAAAACGAAATATGTATTGTAAAATTGAAATGTTGAAAATTAAGGAAATCAAAAAATCGGATGGGTAACTGGAGACTCAAAAGTTGCAAAATTGAAAAATTTTGGAAAATCGAAGAATTGTAAAATCAAAGATTGAAAATTTGAAAAACAAGAAAAAATAATGGAAATGTGAAAACGAAAAATGGTTATATAAAATCGAAATGATGGCAATTAAAAAAACGGGAAAAGGAAAATAAAAATCAACGACTTGAAAATTTGTAATATCGAAAAATTATAAAATTGAAAAATTGCAAATCAAGAAATTGAAGAAACGATAACTGAAAAATTCGTAAGCCAAGAAATTAAAAAATTTTTAAAATTAAAGTTGAAAAAATTGTGATATCAAAAAATTGATAGAACTTAAATATGTAAATCCAAAGTTTTCGAAAAATTCGAAATGAATTGAAAAAATGAAATTATGCATTTTTCAATTTTTTCCGATTTTTTGGTTTTTCAATTTTTCAACTTTTCGAATCAAAAAAATTGAATAATTGCAAAATCAAAAACGAAAAAGGTTAAAATCAAACTTTGAAAGACTTAAAAATTGGAAATCAATTAATGAAAAATTGAAAAAATGAAAAATTGAAAAAATGTATTAAAAATTAAGAACTGAAAAACTTAAAAACCGAAAAAACGAAATATGTAAAATGCATATACATATGTATGTAAAAGCAAGATACTGAAAATTAAAGAAATCGGAAAATCGGTTGACTGGAGATCCTAAAATTGTAAAACTGAAATATTTTAAAATTGGAAAATCAGCAATTGAAAAACTGACGTTTGAAAATTTGAAAAATTGGGTAAATGAATAATTATAAAATCGAAAAAAACATTAAAAGAAAAGGAAAAGGAAAAATGAAAAAAAATCGGGAAAACGAAAAATAAAAATCAATAGCTTGAAAAACTGAGGAAACGAAAAATCGAAACATTTAAAATTGAGAAACTGAAAATCGAAAAATGAAAAATTGCAAATCGAAAAACTGGTATCTAAAAATTATAAAATTGAAGAAAAAGCAAAAACGAAAAAGTGATATCAAAAAATTTTGCAAAAAATAAATTGACTAATTTATTTTTGAGTGACCCTATATAAGTAATTCTAAAAACCATAAGTGCATTGATAAACCAGAACTATCGAGTCACAATATTACATTTCGGAGAGGATTTATTAGTCAAAAATTTGGTGATGACATCATTATTACGGAATTTTGTTTTTTTTTTCCAAAAATCTAGATGTCTAGGGTGAAAACTCAACATGGATTGATAAATAACAAGTACAAGCGTTTCTTATTTTACAAAATCAAAAAAAAAATTTTAATTTTGGAGATGATATCATCCCAATGGTGGTGGGTATGATTAGCCAAATTTTAATAATATACATACAAAATTTGACAACAATCGGTCCAGTAGTTTCGGAGATTATGTGTATGTTTTGATACTAAAATACCAAAATATCATGTTTTTCAACCTTACTATCTTAAAAACATTGCTTTGCTAATCAATCTGCTAATCAAACTGTCAAACTTCCGCCACGTGGCGCGTCATAAAGTATAGTAGATGTGAATTTTAAGATAAGCGGCAAAACCGAAAAACAAATAATTTCCAACGCTAACTCGATATGCAATATGTCAGAATGGAATAAAACCAATAAAATAACCAAAGTAAAAATCAAAGAATTAGGTTTTTAATTTACACGTTGCTATTTCTACACAAAGTTGTTTTTCCTCACATTATTACAATAATTAAATGATAAAAATGCCACAAAAATCCGCCGAAGGTTAACAAGAATCCACCACGTCGAACCCAAAATCTTCCATCAAAAAACACGAAATCCACTTTTTCGAACTTCCCGCAAAAGTCGCAACCTAACCCCAAACCGACCCTTGTTTACCACCCGTCCATCAGCTCAACAAAACAAAACACGACCTCCACACAAACCAATTACTCACCAACCACAACCGAGTTTATCGATCTCCCATTTCCAATAAATATTTGTATATATTTCCCGACAACAAAATCCCGAAATAGCCTCACAACCACCCACGTTGCGTTTCTAGGTTAGGTCCCGCTCACCCCAACAAAGCCCGCTACAACCTACCAGAATTCGTGCAATCACCCTGTGTATCTCCAAATCGCCCCGGAAACGTGAGTCACAGCCGACTGGATCTGCGTTTTGTTCAACCGAGCACAGCACACCGCGACCAGAAATCAACTGTCGATGTTACAGCACGAGTGTTGTTATTAATTGTTGTTACGATAACGACGTCAGATGTCCATCACGACCTTTCGACAGCGACCGCCACCACTTGACTGAACGGCGAAAGTGACAGATAACTTAAAAAATCATCTGACAGATGGTGGGGGTGGGTGACGTCACGGAGAGAAAGCAGTGGCGGCGCAGGGATTTTTATCGGTAGGTGCAAGGAACGGGACTTGCTGTACGAACTTTTACTTTCCGCAGACATTTTTGTGGGAGGACTTTCTCTTGTGGGGGCAGTGGCGGCGGGTTAATTGGTTGTTTGTCGCAATTAAGGAACAATGGTGTTTTGAATTATGGATTATGGCAAACCGGCGACGGAAATAATCAAAGGCTGATTCATTATTGGAGTGATAATGTGTTGATTTGATGAAGTGCGAAAACGTGCGGAGGCAAGATTAGAGGAGATAAAAGTGATGACTTTTGACACTGATGTTACGACATTTTATCACAAAAAATGCGGTAGCAATTTTATAATTGGTACTTTAATGCGTTTTCTAATAAATGAAATAAATGCATTTACAACAACCACAAACCAGTATGTTACATAAAATCTAATTATTTCTTCTTTTGTATATTAAAAAACAACGAAATTCGTAATTCACTATTAGGATTAGGTAACGAATATCGAGAATTTTTAACCATAAGGTACGTGTGAAAGGTATGTATGTGACGCCCATGGAATGGGTTATCTTTCACTTTCCTTTATCTTCGGATTACAATTGTAAGTATGAGAACTACTTATCGTATGATTATAGTAATGTCAGGTCAAAGTTTAAAGAAAGCACTGCTATCGGAAATATGCTATTGTTATTGCTTCAAGTGATTTAACAATCACGACATAATTTCCAAAGATCAGTGTAATTCTCCTCATATTTTTTATTAACGTGATTTTTATACTCCTATCTGTCTATTTTTAACTAATATTTAAGTTCACTAAAACCCAGACGGTTTCGCAATTCTTGTTATTGTTATCGGAATGACACAACTATTTTCTGTCATAAATAATTCAAGATTTTGTTTTGAAATGTATCTGTTTTTCTTTCGAGATTTGGAAAATAGCAAAAAAAAAACAAAGGGAAGTAAAGGTTGGTACAATTTATTTCGAAATAAAAATCCGCTTCCTGTCGAATTCAGTTAAACAAAAAATCCGTGACTTATTGGTTTAATTATATTATAACTTTAAATTTCAAAAAATTTAAAATTTCACAAAATTGAATTGAAGATGTCAAAAAATTTAATAAAAAATCATAAAAACGAGAAATCGAAGGACTGAAAACAGAAATATCGAAGAACTGAAAAATTGAAAAATTATTATGCAAATTTCGACCCCTTTTTTGAGAATTTTTAGACGACTTTTTCGAAAATGAAATTTTACACTATGAATATGCAAATTTTTTCGTTTCGACGATTTTGGAAATTTAACGAAACGTATTTTCTTGTAGATCTCGATTTAAAAAATCAGGAAATCGAATAATCTGTAAGTTGAAATATTAAAAAATTGAAAGCTCCCAAAACTGAAACTTCGAAAAACTGAAATTGAAAAACCTAAAATCTAAAACCGAGAATTTGAAAGATCGAAAGAAGAGAAATGGATTAACAAAAAACTGAAAAATTTAAAATTTAAAAATTCGAAAAATTGAAAAATGGAAATATCAAAGAACTGAAAAATCGAGAAACAGAAATATTTTAGATTTTAAAAATTGAAAAATTAAAATAAGAAAAAACGGGAAATCAAAAAATCGAGAAACTGAAAAATTTAAAAATTTTAACAGTCCTGAATTAAAAAAAAAATGAAAAATTAGAAAATTGAAAAACTGAAAAATCGAGAAACGATGAAAAGTCGAAAAATTGGAAAATTAAAAAACGGACATATTAAAAAGAGAAGTCAAAAAAACTGAAGATCGAGAAATCGAAACGCCAAAAACCGAAAAATCTAAAATTTAAAATTCGAGTAATTAAAGAATAGAAATATCGAAGAACTGAAAAATGGAGAAATGGAAAAATCTAAAATTTTAAAACTTGAAAAATTAAAAGATAGATTGAAGAATTGAAAAAAGTAAAAATTCGAGAAAACGAAAAATTGAAAAATCGTAGAAAAATTAAAAAACTAATGTTGAAAAATTAAACCGAAAAACTGAAAAATCGGTAAATCAAAAAATCGAAAAATAGGAAATTGAAAAACTGACAGTCGAGAAACATTTAAAAGTCGAAAAATTGAAAAATATAAAAATCAACATATTAAAAAACTAAAAAAATATAAATAAGAGTCCAAAAATCTAAAATCTAAAACCGAGAAGTCGAAAAATAAAAATAGGAAAGAAGTAAAAAATAGTGAAATAGAAAAATCTAAGATTTTAAAAATTGAAAAATTAAAATAAGGAAAATTGAAAAACTGAAAAAGTAAAAACCTAGAAAACGAAAAATTGAAAAATCAAAGAAAAATTACAAACTTAAACATTAAATTGTTGAAAAATTGAATCGAAAAACTGAAAATTCGGGATATCACCAAATTGAAAAATTGCAAAATTTTAATTTTAAAAATTAAAAAGTCCATAATTCAAAAAAACAAAAAATTGAAAAGTTAGAAAATGGAAAAACTGAAAAATCGAGAAACTATTAAAAATCCAAAAATTGAAAATTTAAAAATCGAAATATGTATTAAGAAATAAAAAAATCTAAATCTATGAGTCCAAAAATCTAAAATCTAAAACCAAGAAGTCGAAAAATCGAAAGATCGAGAAATCGAAACACCAAAAAACTGAAAAATATAAAATTTAAAGATCTGAGAAATTGAAAAATAGAAATATGGAAGAATTGAAAAATAGAGAATTAGGAAAATCTAGAATTTTAAAAATTGAAAAATTAAATTAAGAAAAATTGAAGAATTGAAAACATAAAAAACCTAGAAACGAAAAATTAGAAAATCGAAGAAAAATTAAAAAACTGAAACATTAAAACATTGAAAACTCCGCAATTTAAAAAAAAACAAAAAATTGCAAAATTAGAAAACTGAAAAACTGAATATATAATCGACTAAATTTTCAAAAATCGAAAAATTAAAAAACTAAAAAATCTAAATTCATCAGACGAAAAATCGAAGGATCGAGAAAACGAAAGTCAAAAAACTGAAAATTCTACAATTTCGAAGTATCGAAGAATTACAAAATCGGGAAATAGAAATGCAGAATGGAAAAAGTAAATAATTGAGTAATCGAAAAATTGAAGAATCAAAGTATTGAAAACACTAAAATATCATAAATTGAAAAATCGAAGAAAAGTTGAAATATCAAAAAATTGAACAATCTCTAAACTGAAACATCCGAAAATTGAAAAATCGAGGTATCCAAAATTTAAAAAAATTCGAAAAATTACTAAATTAAATAATCAAAATCTTGAAAAATCTAAAATTAAAAAATAGAAAAATTCAAAAATCGGGAATTTGAAAAGTCAAAATAATAAAAAAATCGAGTAATCGAGAAATTGAAGAATCGTAAAGCTGAAACATCGTAAAATTGTGAAATCAAAAAATAAAAAAATCGAAATATTGAAAAACTAAAAAAATCTAAATCTATGAGTTCAAAAATCTAAAATCTAAACCCGAGAAATCGAAAAATCTAAAGATCGAGAAATCGAAAAATTGAAAAATTGAAGAAAAATTAAAAAACTGAATCATTAAAATGTTGAAAAATTGAATCGAAAACCTGAAAAATTGGGAAATCAAAAAAACGAAAAATTAAAATTACAGAGTCCGGAATTTAAAAAAAAAAACAAAAAATGAAAATTTGAAAAATCGAAATATTACAAAACTAAAAAAATCTAAAATCTAAAACCGAGAAGTCGAACGATGGAGAAATTTGGATACACCAAAAAACTAAAAAATCTAAAATTTAAAAATTCTAAAAATTGTAACAGAAATATCGAAGAACTGAAAAATAGAGAAATAGAAGAGTCTAGAATTTTAAAAATTGAATAAAAATCGGACAACTGAAAAACGTTTAAATTTGAAATTTAAAAAACAAAAAAATTTAAGTCAGAAAACTGAAAATTCTACAATTTCGAAATATCGCGAAACAGAAATGCAAAATCGAAAAAGTAAAAATAGAGAAATCGAATAATTGAGAAGTCGAAAAATTGAAGAATCCAAGTATTAAAAATCCCAAAACTGAAATATCAATAAATTGAAAAATCGAAGAAAAGTTGAAAAACTGAAAAATTGCAAAATCGAGATATCGAAAATTTTAAAAATGGAAACGTTGAAAAGTCAAAAACCTGATAAAACCAAAATTTAAAAAATTAGAACAATCTGAAAATTCAAGAATCTAAATCTTGAAAAATCCTAAATTTAAAAAATAGGAAAATTGAAAAATCGGGAAATTGAAGAAACGAAAAATCGAGAAATCGAGAATTCAAAAAGTCAAAATAACCAAAAAATCGATTAATCAAGAAATTGAAGAATCGTAAGACTGAAATATCGTAAAATTTGAAGTAGCGAAATATTGAAGAATCGAAAAAATTGAAAAATCCCAACCATGAAATACCAAAAAATTGAATTACTTGAACAGATATTAGTATAGAAAAAATGTTGCGCTTGTCCTTGAAAAGAACAGGTACGGAACTCAGGTAAGTCTGTAGGTACCAGTGGGGACTGTGTAAATACAATTACACTTACCGTTAGTTTTGTTAATCTTTTACCGGTTGAAATTTCGACGAAAAGAGTTTAAGGTAAAGAGCAGTTAGTGAATATTTGACTTTCTCTTTTCAGAAGAAACCCTCATAAATCGACTAGGATTATAGTAATGAGCAGTTTATTACGGACCTCCAATAAATGCTTTTGTAAACATTATTTAATTCCTGGTCACTACTATGTTAGTGAAATTAGATTCTTATTAGAAAACAATAAATACATAGGTAGCAATTTTAAGCCGGATTAAGCCAGATCATTTATTTTTATTATGATAAAACACTTGAGATTAAAAAAAATAGATACTGTAGTTTAACATAAAGCAAAAACTGATGCTGTCCAACATTGACATCTGTCCAACAAATTCACCAATTATAATATACGAAGATG